AGGTCAAGGAGCAAAAAGTGTCCTTTGTGTCCCTCTGACCCAATTAGTATAGATCTCAAGGTATGTCTGTTAAACATCCAAGAAGTCTTTTCTTTTTTGAGACAGGGTCTCACTATGAAGCCTTGGCGGGCCTGGAACTTACTAGGTAGACCAGGTTTGCTGTCATACAGAGATCCACCAGCCACTGCCTCTCCAGAGTTGGGATTAAAGATGTATGCCATCATGCTGGACACACACACATTTTCTTTAAAAATCATAGCTCACTGGGGCTAGAGAGATGGCTCAGCGGTTAAGAGTACTGGCTGTTCTTACAGAAGATCCGTGTTCAGTTCCCAGCACCTCAGTAGTGGCTAACAACCATCCATAACTCCAATTCCAGGGGATCCAACACCCTCTTCTCACCTCCCTGGGCACTGCACAACAGGGGTGCACTTATATGTGGGCAATACAGTCATACACATAAAATAAAAAATAATAAAATATTTAAAAAATCATAGACCATTTTAGATTAAGAAAAAAATGTCACCCCAAATTGCAGTCACTTCCTCTCTTTAGCAGAGAGGTAACTGATGAACTAGATTCTTTCAAGTCTGGTTATTTATTTACTGTTTATGGTATGGGGAATTGAACCCAGGACCTTTCTCATGATAAGCTAGATCTCTCACTGCCCTGTCTCCAGTGCTAAAGTCTGTTTTTATATTTTGCCCATGTGTCATTAGAAGTACATGCTCCTTGGGCTGGAGATGAGGCTCAGTTGGTAGAGTGTTTGTGCCCAGTATGCACAAAGCCCTAGGTTTGATCCTTAGCACTGCATCAAACAGACATGGTGGCACATGCCTGTGATCCCAGTACTGGGAAAATGGAGGCAGGAAGGTAAGAAGTTCAAGGGCATCCTTGGCTACTTAATGAGTTTGTGGCCAGTCTGGGCTACTTGAGACCCTGTATCAAAAAAAGAATAATGTGCACCTTGTGTATATGTACCATCATGTTTCTATGAGGTACTGTATTGTGGAGACGGAATCTCACTATGTAGCCCTGGCTGGCCTGGAACTCACTATGTAGTCCAGGCTGTCCTCAATCTCTCTGCCTCTTCCCCAGTGAGTACTGGGATTAAAGGTGTGAACTACCATGCCCCACGTTTATTTATTTTTGAGACAGTTACATCTGCTATGGTTGTATGGCTGACCTTGAACCCATGATCTTCCTGCCTTTGTCCCCCAAGTGTTGGGATTACAGGCATGTGCTTATGTGGTCTGTGAACCAAAGTAAGCTTCACTGGCTGAAAACAAGGAGTTCTCAGCCTCAGGTTGTCTGCTGGCCTTCCCAGCCTCTAGCAGCAACTGCATACCTAGTAACGGTTTCCTCTCTCTAGCTATCCTGGCCCAGGTCTCTCTCATGTTGCTCTCTGTCTCTGGTTCTCTTCTCTGCTGCTTTTAAAAAAAGGATCTAGTCCTGTGAGTCCTTGGGCCCACCCAGAAAAATCAAGATTTATCTCCCTATGTTCTTATCAGATGATAAGCAGCCTGACATTTTGCTGCCATCTTAATTCTCCTTTGTCATGTGAAACTAACAAAGTCAGGTTCTGGGGGTTCAGATGTGAACATCTTGGGGATCTTAAGCCTTGCCCATCACAGGAAGATACCCCAGAGGTAGAACTATTGGGTCTCAGGGCTTACATTATTTTTGTTTTGTCGAAATACTGATAGAGGGCTGGCAGGATGGCTTGGTGGGCAAAGGCACTTGCTGCTAAGCCTGACAAACTTGAGTTTGGACCCCAGGACCCATGTGGT